ATCAGGTTTTTTATTCTACCCAAAAATCTTTCAAATGCTCAACAGGCCACAGAGGAAATTGCAGTCCTGCTGCCTGGAAGTCGCTTTGCTAAAGTTTTAGACGATTTTGCTAACGTTTTAGGTCAGTTGACGACTTATCAAAGGCGCTTTCGCCAACTTCATAGGTAATTTCACCAACGTCTCTTTCTAGTTTTATTCTCTTTGAAATAGCGGCAATGCAATTGTAGTAACGTATACATATGTGTAAAATCGACCAAAAATGGACTGAGAATGAATTCAGTTTGTCATGAATCGACTTGCATCAAATCGATTTTCAGTTTGTATTGAAACCACCTGACTTCGCTGCGACTTTACGGTTGATGAAAACTCGATCAAGTTCTGCCTAGATTATCGTGACCTTAGCAATTAGACAACTAGACTGCTTCATCCGAAATCAAGCTGATTTACCAAGGCGGCCTGCACACCCGTCATGCAGATCTTTCAAATACTACTGATTGAGAATTTTCATGGTCACCAAAACCTGCCAAACTTTGCGAGGGTGTAGTCAATATTTCAACAAAACTTGATGCTTTTCTTTTAACAGTCTCGCGACTGGCAATCGTGCCGCGGAGGAGGAGGAAGAAATGCCCGATGACGAATGTTCCGAGGCATGAGGATATAGCTATTGAGATACAGTTGAGACAATTATGAAATCATTTGTCGTCCGTGTGGATCGGGTCCTCATCTTTAGGTTAATTGAGAGCGACATTGTGAATTGAACGAGTAAAAATCGAAAAAAGTGGCACATGGTCGAAAAATTGAAAACCTTCGTATTTTTCCCAGAGACAACTTACAGTGAACGTAAACGTGGTATGGCTTTTTTCCCCAGAATTATCTCTTTATCCTTTAAATTTCACGGAAACTGAAACGAGCGTTCGTTGCCGTAAATTGGCGGAAATCAGTGCCCCGAGTACAGGCTAATGAACTTTGCTCATGCAAAGCGCAAAAGAAAGCAAGCTGGTATCAATTTTATAAATTTGTATAGAAAGGATTTAGGTATGGTTTAAGTCTAAAACGGGACCATTGATTTAATTTGGAGCTCACTGAACGCTTTTGAAAATCACCAATATTTCAAAATCCAAATATCGCATTTCGTAGCAGTTTTTCAATTATCATTTTCCCCATGCGAAGTAACTCAGAAGCGGTGCAGGTTAAGTTCCTAATGAGCAAAAATAGCGTTGTTTTCGAGGATATAAAAACTAGTTTGGGGCTTTTAATTTCTATTTGGCAAGGCTAAACTTTGTGGAAATCGCTGTTGATACACGGCGTCCTTTTAAGGAGTTTTCTGTTATCTAAATCGGTGACCTCTGCTGTAACTGCATATAATGTCAGTGTCTGATACATGATCTTGGCAACTCTGGCTCCTGAAATACGATATTCTTCTTGCACCTGTTTTTTTTTTTTTCGCTGCGAAAGTTCGATTTAAACGAAGACTAGATTATTTTTTCAAAGTTGATGATTAGGAGAGACTGATGAGACCTAGAAAAAATCACTGGATCTCATTTCTACATGTAAATTACAGAAATTAATGACAAACATTAATGAAATTTTCACGCTAATTCTAAAGTTGAGTTGATGTTGTTATTGGCCTTAAAATGGTTGTAAATGGTATCTCGTGTCAGCCAATAGATGAATTTCCTGGAAGGTCAAATTGAAGCAACATTCTAACATGAAACACACCAATTGATCTGAAAAAAAATATTCATTTAACCATCTACTAAGACTTTCACTGGTTCACTAAGACAAAATGTTAACTTTTTTTGAAAAGGCTTGGATATTTGTTGGATAACTCGTGCAACAACTCAGGTTATACATTAATGAAATAATTTGGATATATCAACAAAGTTGAAATGGTAAATTGGCCACCGTAATGATTACAAAAGCTGACGTTTCGAGCGTTAGCCCTTATACATTATCATACATTAATATCATACATTAATGCACAGCTCTCTTTTCCATTTCTCCACTTATCCTGTGACGAGTTGACAAATCTTTGTGACATATATTTCAAACCAACCATTTTCTTCGTGTAAGCCCCAAAACATGAAGGGGAGACTGCACTTCTAATTGTGTAGGGATCCTTGCTTTTCCAGACTCCCAACCTTTAAAAATCACACAGTTTGTGACCAATTGCTTAAATGTATATCAATGTTTAGTCTGGATATCAGCATTTGTAAGAACACCATGCACTATTGAGAGCCTGAGCCTGAGTATTTAATGCCATCCAAATAACATTACAAGTTACAATATCGGTACCTGAGCTAACAAAGCCAACTGGGAGCTGGTCATTGTGTTGGTTCGTATTTCATGGAACTGCAGCACACATATATAATTTTCATATATTCAAAATTCGTCGATTTATATCACTTCGACGGGTTTAATACGAAGCAAAATAATTACCAGCTCCACCTACTAGAGAAGCAGAGTTATTACTGTGAGTAACACTTTCACACATTTCATGAAACTGCAGTATACATACACATGTATATGATTTTCGTATATTCAAACTTCAGGAATAAAGTTATCGAAACATTGTATTTTTACGAGAAAAACATCTGTGAGGCTATAATTGCAATTACCTTTCGATGTAAGCAAACCATATTGAAACATAAGATATGAATAAATTTCATCTGATTATCTCACCAAGTTTAAATGCAGAATACAAGTTCGAATAAACTTGCTTTTGAATGCGAAAAACCTGACAGTGTGTTTCCAGCACTATCATTCTAATCGTTACAAATAATAATAATAATGATAATAATAATAATACGGTATTTATATAGCGCTATTTCTATCACTATTCAATAGCGCCGTACAGTAGTGTTATAGATCACACCGATAAAATTTATAGAACGTAAAAAATCTCTGAAACTATGAGTAAAAGAAACTAACTAATAAGGTGATCTGTAGTAATGAGGGTAAAAACTGCAACTTATAATGAAATTAACTAATTTACTAGCTAACTGACCAGCTGATTAACTAATTAACTAATGTACTAACCAACTATCTAGCGACCCAGCTAACTACTAAAATAACTAGTTAACTCACTGAGCAGTAGTCTAATTCTAAAGTCAATCTCAAAAAACTTCAGCAGTACGAATTATGACATGATTTAAATGGCTCACTTCCATATCTCTGACAACCTCCACCAAGGCTACCAGCAGTAGGTTTTCCCCTTGTAAGTGTTTCATAACACCAGATATTCATCACATCATTATTTCATACATGTAATTGATGGCATAGGTAGATTTTAGTTATTATGACATCAATTATTTCCCCACTTTAAAACACAGTCATATGGATGAGAAAGATAGCAAATAAGTCAAACTTTATCATACTCCAGTCAAAGTGCTCTTCTTTAGTGTAATAGAAAAAATCCGAGCTCCAGATGGGACATGAAAGTGCTCTTCTGTAGTATAAAATTCCAAACTCACTGAAATAAAGTTGACTTTGTAATGCAGGTTTTAAAAATAGAAATGTGTCATGCTTCTTTACCAGGACGAAGCAGCAATGCCATTTCTAAATTTTCAAACAGGAAATGCCAAGAAACTTAAAGATGGAATTTAATTACAATACAGCTGCTAAAATATGGCATGTCTTTATAATGAGACGTTAATCACTGGCTGGCACACAGATATATAAGGGTTTTGCTAAAAGCAGGCCCGCCGCCCGCCCACACGGCTGTTTCAAAACGCCCGCCAATGGATATTTAGTTCGCGCATGTCAGATTGACATTTTAAATTGGAAACTGCTGAAAATATCCCCTTAATGGCTCACCAAGAAAGAGCCCACTGATAACTAAGTCACAAAAAGTATATGCCCAAAGCCTAAGGATATAGCTAACTTATGCGCACTCATTGTCTTTTTCTTCTCTGGTTAATGTTCGCCTTGGAAAGACGGCATCTGTGGGATAGTCAATTATGCGACGGCTTCGAGGCACTTTGCTTTGACCCGTGATGATTTATCACCTCTTCGAGGTGTTCTTATTTTCAGGCAAGATTCTGATTGATTCGAATTTTTCCTTAAATAAAGAAACAACACTGGCTGTACATCTCTCCTTTGCTGTACGTTTCTGTACCAAGACGTTTTAATCCGAATTGGTTTGAGCGGTGTAATCTGTCATTACCGTTCACCACCGAAGTAGTAAATATGGCGTCCATTTCCTCTTTGACCTCGAACTAATTCCCCTGAACTGCGCGGTTTTAACTTCTTAAAACAATCGTGCTTATCCATGGGCTAAACAAAGAATACACGATGTATGACAAACTGGTAAAATATCCACGGCCTTCTATTACGTGCACGAAAGTCGCACTATGTGCGTGTGATTTCCTTCCCAAAAAGTCTACGTGATCGATCTGTCACGGGAAGCTACAGGAAACAGTGAAAGCACGGTCAAGACGTTTCTTTCGGTGGAAATTCCGATCACGATCAGGGACAATAAACCTTTCAATTACATGTTAATATTTGTTCATTGATCTGGTAGGTAAATCGCTCCTCTTGGCATGATTCACATGGTTTATTGCGAGTATTCCTTGCCCCTTCAAATGGAACGAATACACGCAATAACACAAGAAATGCAAATATAAATAGATAAATAGACACCTCTTCCTGAAACAAGGTACAAACCCAAAGGGTGTACCCTTCTGAAACAGTAAAAGGTCATGAAAAGTAGTTTTGAAACATTTCTTGAGTCAATTTAGTACTCCCTTTGATTACACATTTAGATGGCTACCTTCGGTCTCTCTGAACATCGAAAAATATGAGAAAAATATGCCGAATTTGTGGAGAGTGATTGAAGAAGGAGAAAGATAAGTATGAGAACAGTCTTCTTTGCGCTGTTAAGATGGAGATAATTTTTACAGCCTTTGGTGTCAAAGTTCATAAAGATGATCTTGACACAAGTGTTATAAGCTTGCACTAAGAGGAGGCACACGCCTTGCAATTAATGTGTGGCCCCTCAGAGACGAACTGGAAACTGTAAGATCTGCAACTCCTTTGAAGATCAAGAGAAACCTGGTAGGAAGAAGAAGAGTAAACCTGGTGTAAAGCCCAGAGAGAACTCGACAGCTGGACCTAAGGAACAGGTAGAAATGGTGAAAGGAATGTCTAGTACTCTAAGCTTCCAACAAGAACCAGCCACACTCTCATTCTCTGTGGAGGTAAAGAGTCTAGAAAGCTATCGAGGATCAGAACCTGTTTATCCAGAACAGTTGGTTGAAAACATCAAGCACGAGTACACGTGCCCAATTTACAAAGAGGTACTTGATCAGCCAGTCCAGACAAAATGCCCAACTCCACACATATTTTGTACTAGTTGTTTATCATTTTCTTTCGAAACCTGTGGATCCCTTTGCCCGGTGTGCCGAACAAACATTGAAAATCAAAATAAGTTCACTGAGCCAGCCTCTTTTGTTCTTCCCACAATACTTTCAGAGCTAGATTTTCGATGTCCTTCTTGTACACACACAGTAAAATTCCACCAACTACCACAGCATCAAGAATGTTGTATTCCACAGCCTACAACAGCACCCACACACGTTTTAACTCCTTTGCAAAGATCAGCTCCAGTAACATCACCCCCCCCCCCTTGTCCCAGTGAAACCTCTACCTGCAGCAGTGGAAAATGGACCAGCAACAACAATCACCTGTGGAGAATTGACAGTAATCCAACTGCTAACCAGCCCAAAGGAAGTTTATAATCCTTAAAGGAGGAAGTTGGACTGTTCATTATTCGACAGTTTCTATCACAGTCTCAGGATGGGGCAACCATTCTCCTCAAAACAGGTGACCAGGTAAAAAATATTTCTTAAAGTTAAAAATGAAGACATTCATTTTCAAAATAAAAGCTAAGGTAATTCATTTTCAGCCCTTAGAATTGGTTAAAAGGACCAGGGTATGGAAAACAACTGATGAGGTAAGAAGGAAAACTGCCAGACAAAGATCAAAGGTAGTAGCAGAGACCAGGATAACTTTGGGTGGTGGGGCAGGTGGTACCCAGTTGAAAGATGAAATGCGAGCAATAGGCAGAATGGAGAGGGAAGCACTTCTGAAGGGGGCCTTGGGAAAAGATTTTAAAATCACAATTCCAAGAGGCGACATCCTGGCAGTGAAAGCAGACCTTAGCGAAACCTGGTACAAAGTCAGAAAGCTTAGGAGGTTAAGAAAAGCATGAACAAAAAAATCATACAGACCCTAAACGTTTTCCAAAGGTACATTAAATATCAGTAAGAGTAACTGTTTTGAGTTTGTATCCAAATTTGCCAATTTCGTGAATATCCTCAATCTGCACACAAAATCGTGATGACTATTATGTCTCTACAGACAGTTTGAACAGTGGGGACTATCCTCAGCGAGCGAAATAAGCCAACGAAAGCAAGTTCAGTCCATCACTGACGCTGCCAACGTGGTTTGTGAAATGTTTTCATTTGAGTTAAAAAAAAAACCAGGTTGCCATCCAGAGATAAGGGAAGCAGAGTTTGGTTGTATTGCAGACCTGAACCAATTCATACATCTTCATCTGGTTGAAACTGAAAAGTATGACAATAAAGAAAATTTAATGGTTAAAAAAAGTCAATGCAATCACCAGACAAATGATTCAAACTAAAGAAAGTGAACTGTTGCCTATTGCTATTACAGTTGCCTATTGCTATTACTGTTGCCTATTGCTATTACAGTTGTAGACGCTAAAACACTTTAAATCCGTCAGTGACACAAATAAGTTTTGAACACGTACCAATCTTCTTTTATTTCAGGGTGATTTACTAGGATTACACGCTTCCTAAAAGGGAAAAGGAATTTGAAATAAACGATGCAATGGAAAAGGGAAACGCTGAATTAAAAGCGAACCAAACATTAGGAATAGTACTTGCAAAACACGTTTTGCCCCATTAAAACGTAGAACACACTAAGAAACTTGAACTAACTCGACTTACTCAAGGTCGTCACTAAAAACGGCGACCATAACACATGTGAATAAAGGCTGATAGTTTCGAAAGAAACTGTTTGGGGCTGCGTTGGTGGGAGTAACGAAATAATTTGGATATATCAACAAAGTTGAAATGGTAAATTGGCCACCGTAATGATTACAAAAGCTGACGTTTCGAGCGCTAGCCCTTCGTCGGAGCGAATAGAGGAATTGTGGGTTGTGTGTGCTTTTAAAGGCAGAAAATGGAGCTACGTTATTGGTGGGAGCATGGCAACGAGAAAAACATGAGTAAATTAGTGGAATGAAAAGCGTTCGTTGATCCCTGTGGGATTTAGACTGTCGGTTTGAAAGATGAGCTTTTGTTCAAGACTTTTACGGCTTTCCGTGCCACCTAAGTACAAGGAAAGACCGCACTTAGGTGGCACGGAAAGCCGTAATAGTCTTGAACAAAAGCTCATCTTTCAAACCGGCAGTCTAAATCCCACAGGGATCAACGAACGCTTTTCATTCCACTAATTTATTCATGTTTTTCTCGTTGCCATGCTCCCACCAATAACGTAGCTCCATTTTCTGCCTTTAAAAGCACACACAACCAACAATTTCTCTATTCGCTCAGACGAAGGGCTAACGCTCGAAACGTCAGCTTTTGTAATCATTACGGTGGCCAATTTACCATTTCAACTTTGTTGATATATCCATAACACATGTGGCTTAGCTGCGGCGGGCTGGGCCCTAAACTAGCGCGTGAAAACTGCCAGGCGCAACGACTAACTTGAGCTTACATTCCCACCCCGATAAATGCGCCTCGGGTAAGCATTTAGACAATGTTCCGAGCGTCACTTAATGTCGAGCTAATACTTGCGTCTTACCGTTACTAAAGTTACTTCGATCCAATTTTCAAGTTTCAACTTCCAAAAAAAAAAAAATTAAAATTAGATGCATGTTCAACATAAAGGATTCTTGAAATGTGTTCATAGTCCACATTCCTCCACAGCCTCGAGAAGGACACACTTGTTGATAGGGCATTCTAACTCTGATGTCTTTGACTTCATTTTCACTCGGTGCACACATCCGTCTCTTCCGGGCATGACTTCGATTACTTTCGCCATTGGCCAACAGCTCCTAGGAGAACTGTCGTCCACGATCAACACAACGTCACCAACAGCTAAGTTTCTGCACAGAAAGTTCCACCTCTGTCGGTGCTGTAACAAAGGGATGTACTCACGTGACCACCGTCTCCAAAATTGATCCGCGAGATACTGCACTTGTCGCTATCTCTTGCGAGAAAAGGTATCCTCCTTTCTGAAGATTCCGGGGGTAGAGTCGATCCAGATCGAAGTAGGAGCAAATGGTTTGGGGCAAGAGCCTCTAGGTCTCTTGGATCCTGAGACACCTTTGTGATGGGTCTACCATTTATAATTGACTCTACCTCGCACATGAGGGTTACCAAGGATTCATCGTTAAGAACTTGCTCCTTCAGTGAGGCATTCAAAATCTTCCGCGTGGTGGATCCAGAGGGAGGGGTTGAACATCCAGCAAACATCTTGCTGTAACAGGTACTCATGAATCCGCTGGGTGTTCCACTGTAGAATGTTAGCACGGATCTCCTTGTCTCCGCTGACAAAATTGGAATCGTTATCGGTTCTCACCAATACTGGCTTGCCTCTCCTCGCAATAAATCAGCGAAGCGCATTTATGAATGAGTCGGTATCTAGCGAGTAAGCGACTTCCATGTGGACTGCTCTTATGTTCAAACAGGTAAAGATGCACCCATACCTTTTGACTCGACTTCTACCAGAAGTCGGGCCAAAGAAGGGACAAAGAAGTCGATCTCCACGGGATTTAACTTGGTTGGGACATGTCTCCACTGGACAGGGGAAAAACCATCGAGAATCGGAGACACTCTATTTCCCACTAAAGTGTGAGACCTTGCATTGCTGTTTCCAATGTACTTAAGCACTGAAGTACTATCTGTCCAGAAGACTGATTCGTGCACAGACAACTCTAACTCTCATCTTATCATCTTGTCGAGTCCGACAGCCAAAGTTGCTGCAGACAGCTCCCGTCGTGGTATACTAATGGACTTTAGGGGGGCCAGTCTTGACTTGGCCATGAGAAGCGCACAATGGACGTGACCTCCGTCGTCTACGAGACGAATGTAGGTGACTGCGCCATCACCAATCTGCGACGCATCACTGAAGTGGTGAAGTTTGCATGTGGAGATCTTCCCAAACCCGTACGGCTTAACGCAGCGGTCAATAGAAAACTCTTCCAGTCGAGAGAGTTCGAAAAGCCATTCCTTTCAGCACTTCAAGCTTTCTTCTCGGATGGTTTCATCCCAACTAAGTCCTCTTCTACATTGGTCCTGCAGGACAGCTTTAGCCGGTAGTACGAAAGGACTTACCAAACCAAATGGGTCGTACACTGAACTCACTATAGATAACATCTCACGGCGTGTTGGAGGCTTGTCCTTAAACTTCACTTTAAACCCAAAAGTGTCCGATTCTAAATTCCATCTGACACCAAGGGCCCGCTGCGTTGGCATGATTTCACAATCGTCTTTCACAGAACTTGCTCTCTCTGACTCAGGAATAGTTACAAGCACCCTCGCAGAGTTAAAAAGCCATTTGGTTAAATGGAAGCCTCCTTTCATTAACAGTTCACTGAATTTAGGCACGAGCTTGATGGCCATACTTTCACTTTCACTTTCACTTGACTTCAAGCAGTCATCAACGTAGAAGTTTTTGTTCACAGTTTCGACAACGTCGGGGGGAAAGGTAGCACTGTTATCCTTGGCTGTCTTGCACAAGGAAAATCCAGCACAGCTTGGCGATGACACCGCCCCAAACAAATGAACTCTCATACGGAAATCTTGAGGCTCCTTATTCATGTCGTTTCCAGGCTACCACAAAAAGCGCAACGAATCACAGGGATCTGGGGAAACTTGGACTTGATGGAACATGGATTCTACGTCAGACATCAAAGCTATACGTTCCTGCCTAAACCTAAGTAGCACACCAACTAAGGAATTATTAAAGTCTGGTCCTTGCAACAGGAGGTCATTCAGTGATGTATTTGCATACTTGGCAGTTTTAGCGGGGTGTAGAACGGGATGATGAGGCAAATACCACACCATACCATCAGCACGACTCAGTGAGCTGTCTGGAACCTTTTCACAGTAAACTTTGCGGAGGTAATCATCAATAACGCTTGAGTACTTTCTAAACAAGTCAGGATCTCTATTGTTGTTGTTGTTGTTGTTCATTTATTTGTTTAAGCAGGTTGATTAATTGGCAGCTGTAATAACTGATGTGGACCTGCTGTCCTAACCCACCCATCCCACCCCAGGGGAGGACATCCATCACAGAGTAATCTCGTGTGTGGGAAATTAACGTCTCCTGCCCCAACCCTGCAGGAGACGGGACCTCCATTTATTCGTCCCTATCCGAGAAGACTAGAATATCTAACCATTTCTTGATGTTATAGAAAGGTAGCAAATTCTTCTCAATTATTTTAAGACCTTGAGTATTGGTCCGGCCGGGGCTCGAACCCTCGACCTCCCGCACTACAGTCCAGCGC